CGGGCTCAGAGAGATGAAGAGACTTTTCCATTGCCACACAGCCACTGAGTGGTAGTGTTGAGGTTAGTAACGGCTACTCCTATTTGTTTAGTTCTTTAGGGTCAGAAAGCTTTTTCCTCATACTGGCACCCAGTTGACTGTTCTTTCCAAAACATGAGCAGGAATGGTCAAACCACGTGTGTCTATAGTACCAAATAGCTGGTTTTAGCATTCACTTTTTGCTTTAGCTTTTGTTGTACCTTTTAAAAATAAGATGATAGAAAGTAAATAATGAGAGAATCAGAGCATAGAGGATCTAGATCTTGAAAGAGCCTTAGAATCACCCGGTCCTTAGTCACATTTGGTCTAATCTCTTTGTTTTGTAGATAAGGGAGCTGAGGACAAACTTTAGTCCTTGAAACATCCTAGTCACTTGCCTCTGGATGTTCTCCAGTTTATTAAGGGCCTTCCAAAAATGTCTAGTGCCTACAACTGAACACAACAATCCAGATATTGCTTGACCAGCACAGAGTACAGTTTTTTCATCTTTCCTCCCCCAGTCCTGTAAATTATGCTTTTCTTCTTTTTTTTTTTTTATAAAGGCAATGGGGCTTAAGTGACTTCCCCAGGGTCACACAGCTAGTAAGTATCAAGTGTTTGGTCTGAGGTCAGATTTGAACTCAGGTCCTCTTGACTTCAGGGTCAGTGCTCTATCCACTGCGCCACCTAGCTGCTCCCTACATTATGCTTTTCTTAATGCAGTCTAAGATTGCGTTAACTTCCAGTAGAATGGAAGCTCTTTAATACTGGACTTGCTTTTCATCTTGTCTGTGTTTCCTTGGTGCCTAGTACAGTGCCTTGCACATGCTTAACAAATATTTGCTGAGGGGCAGCTATGTGGCTCAGTGGATAGAGCACTGGCCCTGGAGTCAGGAGGACCCGAATTCAAATCTGGCCTCAGGCACTTGATACTTACTAGCTGTGTGCCCTGGGCAAGTCACTTAACCCCACTGCCTAGTTAAAAAAAAAAGAAAAAAAAAATTTGTTGAACTGAATTAATTTGGCTTCTATGTACCACTGTTGATTCACATTGAATCCACAAAAAACACTCAGTTTGGATTTCCATCAAGTTGTTCTTGAGGTTAACTCTACCTCTTTCTTTTTTTCTTAATGCCCTTGAGATTATGAGAATCCATATAAAATCTTAGTTGGACCACATGACATATCCCGTGGACATTTAAAATTCCATGTGTCCAAGACATAACTCTTTATCTTTTCCTCCCTCCAAACCTTCACCCTTCCCAACTTCTCTTTATGTTAAGAAACCACAGTCAGAGTTATCTTCAACTGTTCCCTATCCCTCTTGTACAAACAGTTAATGAGGTTTATACCTGGCAATATTTATCCACAATATATCTCGCACCTGACTGATTCACTCCATTCATATGGCCACCAGCTTAGTTCAGGCCGTTATCACCTCTTACCTGTGCTATTGCAATCCTAATTGGTCTTTCCTTATCTAGATTAATTCTCCTCCAATCCATCCTCTATACAAAACTGCCAAATTGATACTTCTGATGTCTGACTATATGATTGACTACTCTGCTTAAGAAAGTCGGGTGCCAACTCTTTTTTTTTAAATCCTTAACCATCTGATACTAGCCTACCTTTCCAGGCTTCCTCCCAATATTTACCTTCTGTCTACTCTATATGTATCTTGTAAAATCTATTTATATGTTTGTCTCAATAGAATGTGTTCTTTGAGGGCAGGGATTGTTTTTGCCTTTCTTTGTCTCCCCAGTGCTTGACAAAATGCCTGCCATATAGTAAGTACTTAATAAATGCATTTTAATTGAGTGATTGATGTATTGGTCATCATTTTCCTTTACACACTTTATAATCCAGCCAAAGTAGCCCATTTTTGCCATTCCCTGTACAGGACATTCTCTCTCCTGGCCAGTCTCTGTGCCTTTGCAAAAGATATCCCTCCATTCCTGGAATATACTCCTTCCCCCACCCCTGGAAATTAAAACATTTTTATTTTTTCAATGAGCAAAAATTTGCCTTCTGATTCTCCACAATAAGAATGAAAGAATGAAAGAAAAGCAAAATCCCTGCTACAAACATGTATAGTCAAGGAAAATAAATGTCCACATTGACTGTGTCCAAAAAGCAATATGTCTTATTCTGTACTCTGAGTACTTCACCTCCTTATCGCTCTGCATTTGTCCTCTGGAATTGTGGTTGGTTATTGCACTGAGCAGAGTCCCTAATTCTTTTGATGGTGTTTTCTTTGCTACATTATTGTCATTGTGTAAATTGTTCTCATAGTTCTATTTGCTTTACTCTGCATCAATTCATTTAAGTTTTCTGAGATTTTCTTTGAAACTATCCCCTTCATCATTTCTTACCCATAACTTTTTCAACCATTCCCCAATTTATGGGCAGCTCCTCAAATTACCATTCTTTGCCACATCAAAAAGTTATAAATATTTTTATAGATTCATAAAGTTTATTTTTGCTTAGGACTAATCCTTAATCTTCTCTCCCCCTAACCTAAGTCTCACTGTGTATATATTCTTCCCTCCTTGACCAGTTTAGATGAGAGTGAGGTTCAAGTGTCAGAAACTCCACTTGAACACCTCTTCCTTGTCTGTACAGATGTCTACTTGCACACCCTTATGTGAGATAATTTCCCCTAATATACCTTTCCTTTCCCCCATCCCCACTGCTTTTCTTTCCCTTTCTTTTCATTCTTCTCTTAAGATAATCAAAAAATAACAGAATCACTCCCAAGCTTTGTCTAATTAGATTTCTTCTATGATAGTTGATGACGATAGAGTTCAGAAAGCATATATATATCACCTCTCTGTATTTGAATGTAAGCAGTTTATCATTATTTAATCCTTTATCATTGTTCATTCACATTGATCATTTAATGTTTCTTCCAAGTTCTCCAACCTTTTATGGTGGTGGCTGCCAAATTGTATGTGATCCTATTTGTGATTTTTCAATACTTGAATTCTTTCTTACTGACTGCTTGTAGTATTTTTATTATAAAATTCTGGAAGCCCTGGATTTTGGCTATAATCCATTCATTAGGTGGTTTTCTTCAGAAAATCTTTTTCTTTCCACTTTGACCTCTGGTTCTAAGAAATCTGGGCAGTTTTCTTTTAAGATAAGATATCTTGAAATATGATGTCTAGGCTATTTTTTGGTCATTGCATTGAGAGAGCCCAATAATTCTTAATTTTTTTCCCTCCCTAACCCTTTGCAGGTTGTTTTTTTTTTTCCTCTATGGGATACCTTACATTTTCTTCTGCTCTGTTTGTGTGTATTTCTTTTTTTAGCCTTTTGACTTAGTTTTAATATTTCTTTTGGTCTCATGGAGTCATTGGCTTTTATTTGGTCTATTCCAATTTATTTAGACAAGGTTTTATACTTATGCTAAGCTGTTAATTCCCTTTTTAATTCTTTCTTCCATAGCTCTCATTTCTTTTTAATTATTTTTTTACTCTAGCACTCTTTTCAATGATAAAATCATTTTTTTACTCTTTAATGAACCTCTTGCTTCATCTTTTCTAGGAATTCTAGTTGAATTTTTGTCTAAGCTATGTTTTGAGGCATTGCTTGTCGATGTTTGGGAGTCATGAACTTTCTGTGTTTGTGTCTTAGGTTATCCCTATCATCATAATAGCTTTTTATGGTGGGTATTATCCTCATATTAAGAAGAGGAAATTGAGGTTGAGTGGTTAATTGCCCAGGATCACAAAGCTAGTAGTCAAGATTTGAACTCAGGTTTTCCTGATTTCAAGTCCAACATTCTATCCGAGTTCCCACCTTTGCCTGACTTAATTTCATTGTCTGACTCATAATAGATAACTTAGTCAATCAACACACATTTATTATTTGCCAGAAATTTTGCTAAATCCAGGGAATAGAAACAAACACAAAACCAAAAATATTTTTGAACTGAATTTTAATTTAATCAGTAAAATATATTGGTAGTTCCTTTTACTATTTGTGACACTAGCTGTGCATTTAGTCACTGGAAGAAATGACTGATTTTTCTAACCTTCAGTTTGATTGTCAAACATGGGCATTTGTGCCACTCTACTCCTTGCCACAAAAGAAAATTAAGAAAACTGGTCAAAGTCTCCAGAGATTTTATTGGTTGTCTTTGTTACTAAATATGCCTCTGTGACCAAAAGAAAAAAAAAAGATCTTCCTTTCCTTTATTATTTTCTTTGAGCAGGAAAGCAAATATCATATTTAGTTGTATTAAACAAGCTTTTGTCAAATCTCCCTTGTTGGCTCGGCACTGTGCTAAGTACTGGGGATAGGAAGACAAAAGACAGTTCAGACCATCAGAAGGGAATATAAATGGTGGGTGGAAAAGTCTCATTTATTCACATATTTAAGAAAATACTTGTTCTTGGATGCAAAAGGGAATACTGAACAGAAGGTTAGCCTTAAAAAAAGGACAAATTCCTACTTAAATCACAAACTGTGAAGAGAATACTCTAAGGTTATAATGCCTCACATTTGGATGATACTTTGCAGGCCTCTCATTTGGACCTTCTCGTAATCCTATGCAATAGAGAGGGTAGCTATTTCCCCACCTTATAAATTGAACTGTTGAACTGTTGAAACTGGGAGCTCAAGTGATTTCTCTCCAGGACATCTAGGAAAAGCTAGGTGCCATATTTATTCTTTTCTTTGCTGCCATAATTTCATTATGTTAGGCACAGAATTCAGAGCTTTTGGACTTAAGTATTGTTTTAATACTGGAAATAACTTGAGGAATTTACTTTGTTTTGTCTGTGATCTAGAAGAAGCAAGTGCATGATTGATAAAGAAAAATCCCAGGGAAATAGAAGATTTAGGAAGGAAGCATTTTCCCCTTAAATATTTGTCTTCCATAAAAAGATGTCGATTGTTATTTCATTTTCCTTAGCCTGGAACTTAAATATTCCTAAGCTTAAGTCATTGTGAATATTAAAAAGATGATTATTTTCTAGAGGAAAAAATGGTAACAGCTCAGGAAGAAGACTTGCAGCAGCTTCTTGAGGAATTTCTTGAAGATAAAAAGAACAAGCAAATAGAAGAAAAATTGAAACAACTAATAGAAGACCCAAAAAATGACATACAAAAGGTACAAGCATTAATTTAGAAAACTTATATAAGTTAATCAATTTGGCTTCATTGCCAGTTTTGTATCTATTTTCTGATAACCTCTCCTTTCAGAAATGTGATAGTTTATAATACATGGTCGTGTAAAAAAAAAAAACCTTTAAAAATGTCTTTAGTTTTTTACTTTTAAACATACAACCATTTAGTAAGATTCAACCAATATTTATTAACCAGATTTGATGTGTAGAGAGTACTGGTGCTAGGTTATGGGAGAGATACAAAAATTAAGTAGCGGGTTCCTTGATCTTATGGAGGTTATAGTTATGTATAATGCAAAATAGAGCATGATAAATCCATGAGAAGCACAAAGTGCTATGCAAGGCTCTAGGGAAGAGAGAGAATTTCTGACAGCAAGTTCTCCAGGTTGGAACTATACTAGATACTTCATGATGGTAAGCATTTTGCTTAATTTAAAAAATTTATTCTATTTGTTCTTTCCACCATTTTTCAGAGCATTGATGAAATGATAAAAACAAATACTGACCTAGAGATGGAGATTAAAAAGCTTGAAACTGAGTTGGAACGACCTTCATCCTATATGGTAACTTTGTATTTAAATGTTTTATGTACCATTTTTTCAGTCAATACCTTTTTTTTTTTTGAAAGAAAACTCTTTTAGGTTTATTATACAAAAATCCACTTTAAAAACATGCTAATTATTATTTTGAGTCTCGTTTCAATATGTGCTAAATGATTTGTGGCTAAATATTAAAATTTCATGGTAGCTGACATTTTTAATCCAGTATGATGCAGTGAGTTCATTCATTTATGGAGTGTAGCTTAAATTTAATTCTATAAAAAACAATGAGCATATATTTAACTAGATTAAAACATGGTTGCAATTTTAATCTTTAGTATTTAAATTTTCTCAGCAGGACTTTCTGTTAATAACGGAAAAAACCTTTTATTTAAAACATTAGTTTAGTAATTAGAACTGTTTCATTTCTGTTTCCTGTGTTTTGGAGGTATGGCCTATTATATAGCAAGAGAAGTTTAGAGTTTTAGGTACCCTCGTGAATGGATGCAAAGCAGTTCTTTTGGTGAAGCCACTGAAAGAAGGATATTTTTTCCTTCCTTCCTTCCTTCCTTCCTCTTTTCTTAATTCAGAACTTAAAAAAAAAACACCCAATAAAATATGTAGTTCTAGGTACAAATTAGAACAGAAGTAGAGAGAGGTTTGACTATGAAACCGTGATTCTCTTTAACATACAGCTTCTTTTTCTTTTTAAGTAAATTTAACATGTAACTTTTAAAGCTGTCCTGTTCAAAATGTAACTTTAACTTTTAAAATTGTTCTGCTTGTTTCTGTTTCTTTCTGACTTTTCTTCTTTAAAAGAAGTTTCAATAATCCTCTTTTCTTTTCCTTTTTTTTTTAAGCATCTCTATAATGTTTTGTAACCCCCAGATTCCCCAATGGGGGAAGAAAAAAAGAAAAGCAAAAACTTTTATAACAAATATGCACATTCAAGCAAAACAAACTGTCAGATTTTCCATACCCTAATGCCTATTACCTTCCTATCAGGAGGTGGGTATTATCCTCATTAGCCCTCTGAAATCATGGTTGGTCATTTAATTGGTTAAAGTTCTTAAGTCTTTCAAAGTTGTTTTTCTTGGAGTAGCTAGGTGGCCCAGTGGTTAGAGCACCAGCCCTGGAGTCAGGAGGACCTGAGTTCAAATCTGGCCTCAGACACTTGGTACATATTAGCTGCATGACCCTGGGCAAGTTATTTAACCCCCAAAAAAGTTGTTTTTCTTTACATTATTGTTATCATTGTAGAAATTATTTTCTGGAAAAGAGGTTCTTACAGTACCTTAAAGCTACATAGAAGTCTAATTCAGTTGCTTGCTTTACAGATGACAGATTATCTGTTATTCCCAAGGTCAAAGAGCTAGTTATTGGCAAATTGGCAAATTGGAATTCCAGGACCCACCTCCCTGACTTGTAGTGCAGCTCTCTTCCTATCATTCTGAAACTTCAGAAATTTCCATGCTATTAATTAATTCATTCATTTTTTCACTCACTCATTCATCCCAGGATCATAAGGACCTTAAAAGTAATTTCATTTTATAGAGGAGAATCTGAGCCCCACACAGATTAAGTAACTTGCTCTAGGTCACATGGATAGTTAAAGTTGCACAGCCAAGAATTGAACCCACATTCTCTGACTCCAAATCCATCACTCTTTCTTCTGTCCCACAATGCCTCACTTTAAAAACCCTTTGCTTCTTCTGAAGTACTTGAGGCTATTTTTGCAAAGTCGATCTCCTAATTCATAGAAAACCCACTTGGGCTTAATGGGAACCTTTATCACAAATTTGCATTTGAGAATAGGTCCAAATTATTTACTTGATGAATAATAGATAATTATATTCACCATTAAATAGAAAAATTATGTTTTACTATTTAGTTAGTAAAATTATATTTACTATTAAATGGTATATCTTTGGGATATTAGCATGCAGAGTAAAAATGGGAACTAGATATGCAAAAGTTTTAATGATTTTGTCATGATATCGACATTTCCTATTAATGATCATCTAGTGGCATAATTTCTAATAGTGATGATTGGAGGCTGTTAGGTCAGTAATGAGAAGGTGTTGCATCAAGCATTCATTCAATCACTTCACTGAGCCTGAAGAGTGAATCTGGTAGGAAATGGCAGTCCTGTAAATCTCACAGAAATTGGCAATACCATCGTTCATTCTTACTAGCTCTGAAGTGGTAGTCCCATTCAACATAACAGAATCTGGGCCCGACATTCTTTTACTCTGAAGTATGCTTTGTGCTTTACTAATATCAGCTGTGCTAGTCTCCCTCAAGGACCATTGGGGAAATAACAGCTAGTCAGTTCAAGTCACTTTTTGATGTGATTATTGGTCAATCTCCAAGGCCCTTCTATCTTGGGCTAAGTGCCCCTGTTATGACTCCATATTAGGCCTATCACTGGCATGTGCAACCATCCTTTGGCCAGTGAAGAATATTAGGCCTCTTCCTCATTTTGTTCTGGGCAGTTAGATGAGTATATAAATCAATAAATTTTGGTATACTAATTAACAGGATGTAAGATGAATTTAGGAAAGAGAAGCAATGTGTAGTACATCATTTATCATCTCAAACAAGCAATACCCAGGCTTCAGTGCCAATTAATCTGCCTCCAGAATGAGTAAGTGATTTATCTTCCCCGAGATGGCTCGGACAGAGTATCTTTGGAGTAGAGGTAGGGAATAGTGGTTTGCAGGGGCCTTATCTCTATGCATGTGTGGGTGGTAGCTTGAGGAAGCTGGTCCTTGAGAAGCAGAAACTTAAGCTAAAAGCAAAGTTCAAAACATGAGTATTCCACGATCATCCAGATAGTCAGTGGAGTCAATGACGTGTTCTCCACCTCAGTACTAAAAAATCCACTAAAGCAATATTATATATGCTTGGTATACTTTTAAGTTTAATCTGCATTAATAATATTTTTCCATCACTTTCTTAAGTCTAGGCAAACCCCCAAACAACAAATCAAACCTTGATTTGTAATATTTGCTGATTTGCACTGTGTAAGTGGGTAGCTAGGTGGTGTGGTAGATAGAGCTCCAGGCCTGGAGTCAGGAAGACCTGAGTTCAAATCTGGCCTCAGACACTAGCTATGTGACCCCAGCAAGTCACTTAACCCTGTCTGCCTCAGTTTCCTCATCTGTAAAATGAGATGAAGAAGGAAATGGCAAATGACTCCAGTATCTTTGTCAAGCAAACCCCAAATGGGGTCATAAAGTCAGACAAGACTGAAATGACTGAATAACAAAGATATAAATGCTCACACTGAAAATTTAACAGTTGTCTCTGTTGAGCCCGTCTGAGGGGGCTCCGGCATACCTCTCATAGGGAATCATGGTATAGTAGAGGGAGAATCAATTTGATGGTCTAATAACTAAACACACAGTGGAATAGTGTAAAGAAAGCTAGTCTTATCTGGAAAATCTAGTTTTTAATCTTGCTTCTGACACATACTAGCTTTGAGACCCTGGACAAATCATTTAACCTCTCAGTGCTACTAGGCAATAAGTTGCTGATGAGTTGCTCATCTGCACCAGTGGAGAGTTTCCATACTTGGAGCTCTTTGATGATTGTTTTTGAAAACCATTATTAGAACTGGAAAAACCTATGAATTACCTTGTCTTGTCCTTAATAAAACATTTCTGTTTAAATTAGATTAAAAAGAATGTTCCTAAAAAGAAAATGAAGTTCACATCGGTGGAGAGCCCTGAGGATGACAGCCAATATTTAAATATCTCCTGTTCATTTCAAGTAACTACACAATTTGAGTATGAGTTGCAGCAAGGACAAGCACTTATCACCTTTGAAGACGAACAAGGTATCATTAATATTTTTAAAGAAAAATGTGAAAGTCCGTCAGTCGAAAATATTTTTTAAGCAGTATGTGCCAACTGGGAATACAAAGTAGGGTAAAAACACAATCCCAGCACTCAAGGTATGTAAATTCTAATGGGGACTCAACATGCAAAAAAACCATGTACATACAAGATGCTTGCAGAGTAGATGGGAGGTCACCTCCGTGGGAAGGCACTGGAGGGGAGAATAAGGGGACACACAGAAGGTGGGATTTGAAAAATAAAGGCATTCTAGTAAAACCAGCATGTATGTAATCAAGATACATACTATTGTTCCTTTAGCTCAGCTCTGAAGGCTTTATAAAAGAAGAAAGTAGCACCAGTGGTGGCCAAGGCAGTAGCATCCATGACATTGGCAACTGGGATATAACAGTAACTGGGAGAAGGGAGTGGAGAGTAGAAAAGATCTGACCAAGTCAAGCAGGTTGTGTAGTGGGTAGAGCATTGGCTTGGAGTCACTAAGACCTGAGTTGAAGTTCTGTCTCAGACACTAGCTGGGTGACTCTGAATAGATCACATCTCAGTCAGCCTCAATTTCCTCATCTGTAAAGTGGGGATAATCATAGCTTCTTTGTAATAAGGTTTTTATGAGGATCACATGAGATAATATACGCAAAGCAATTTGAAAACCTTAAAGCTACACATAAATGCTTAGTAATAATAATAACAACAATAATAATTATTATTTTTAGCCATTAGAGATCTGGAAAGTGTAGGGGTTGGCTGGGAGCTGGGTCAGTTGCTTGTGCAACAGCCAGCAGTGGCTACTATACTACCCCACCCTAAAGTCCCACTCCTCTGGGACTACTTTAAGTTCAAACACAACCAAAAAGGGGTTGGCTCTGGCCATTCAGTAGTGACATAAAATGAAGAAAAATGATCCCTGCCCAAGTGCAGTGAAATACCAGATGTTTTATGAGAATATGTTATTACAAGAGTCTGACTTCCCTTTTGTTGTTCTTCCCTAGAGAAAAACAAATTAAAAATCCAAGTTATATTGACCAGGACATTGAGATACAGGTGTTTCCTTTCCTCTTGATCCTTTCCCTCCCCTGAACCTGCAATAGGGATATCTAGTCATTAGACTGCTGCAAATTCTCCCTCCATGATTTATGCCATAAAGAGTTAATTTGCTTCCTTGAATTCTGAACATAAATTTGGCCCCCAGACCTAAAACATAGGGTGGCAAAGGCATGAACTAATAGTATGTACAATTGGGCATTCTTTCAGATTCAAGCAGCTACCTAGCTATAGTTTTTAAATGCTAATTCATAAATTAAAATTGATTAATTTTGGTAAGTTTATTGAATTAATCATAATTAATTTTTGATACATCCATTAATAGCCTATTTGTTCATTTAAAAACTGCCAAATCGCTAGCTTTATTATTCAGATGATTTATTTTTCTCAGAGGCAGCAAGTTGGAGCAATGGCTAGAATGCTGGACCTAGGAGCTTAGCTTCACTCCCAGACACTTCCTCACTGTGTGACCTTGGGCAAGTCATTTAAGGTCTGTTGAAGTTTCCTCATCTATAAAGTAGGGATAATAATAGCATCTACCACACAGAGTTTTTGTGAGAATCAAATGAGATATTTGTAAAGCCCTTAGCACATTGCCTAGTATGTAGTAGGCATTTAATAAATGCTTGTTCCATTTCCTCTCTTTCTCCCTTCAAACTAATTTGAAGAGAAAATCCAGGGTCGGTAGGCTAGAAAGAAGAGGGAAGGCTGGTAGGTCAGTATGTCCCTAATTTAGCTATGTTTAAAAATACACTTAAATTAAACTAGTAGAGTTGCATCTACTGTTAAGTAGCCTTTGTGAAGCTTGGTGGGGATGGGAGGAGATTTCCAGAATTTCTCTCTATAAACATCATTGATTCTGTAGCATTCAAAGAAAACTTATTGGAAGAAGAGTTGTGGCCATCTATAGGAAATTTTGCTTTCAAGCTCAAGGTCAGACACTCTGTCTTATCTTTTATTTACTTTTTCTCTTAATGGTGTTTGGAGCCCAGTTAGAGGCATTTTAAAACAAAGAACTTAACTACATCCTCCAACCCAGAGAAAGTCAATATCTCAAGGACCTGTAATTTTGTCACAGATAGTCTCAGACAGGTAAAGCAATTTGCTGATGAGAACTAATGGTGTGCACACCTGAGCTCATCAACCAGTCTTCTCCACACTCCCTGATGCAATGTGGCCTGGGCACATGCATATTCAGGACCCTGGGAGGCCTATTATCTGTGGAGGAAACTTATGATGGGCTAGTTCTCTTAATAAACCCAAGGATAATATACAGTCAGTGACTTTGGGAGTGCAGGTTTTCTCAGGGGTGGGGGGGGTGGGGCAGGTAGTTTTCTCAACTTAGGTACTAGTGACTATCCTGAGAATGACCTTGACAAAAAGAATTGATAATCTAGAAATGTGTGTTTGTCTTTGGGGGAAGCTTTTTGCAAAAGTTATAGTTAAAAAAAAAACCACAGCAACAAAACAGTTGTTCAATGTTTGGAATACAAATTTATGAGACTTTGGAGCAGCTATATGTCAAAGAAACCTATTTACCCTTAATATGCAAGCAAAAAAGGATTATAACCAACTCTCCTTAATTACAGAAGTTTCTTCTCCTTAGTAAAGGAGTCTCTCAAAATGAGGTTGCACTTGCAGGAACAGTATGTAATAATGTATTATCAGGTAGCACTGTATTAACCATCATCACAATAGCAATGACATCAATAATGCCAGCTTAGCCCAAAACTTACATTTCACTTTTATTATAGAAAGAAATACGTATATTATTAGTTGCAACTCAAACTATGAAGTGGATTACAGCAGTCAAAATAAAGCACTGGGTAATGAAAAAAGGCCCCCTGCCCATGGTCACACACATAGCTAATATGTGTCAGAGATAGGACTTAAAACCCTGGTTTTTAATGTTCCAAGTACAGGGATCCAACCACTACACCACACTATCTACCCCCTAATAGTTAGGAACCACAAGTAGAACAGCTCATGTCAGTTGGTACCTAAAGATGGAGATGGTCTGTTACATCTATCTGGGAATGGCTCTGAGGAAGAAAATAGATTTAGGGAACTGTTAAACTTTTTGGCTCCTCTTGAATTGGTGGCAGAGTAGAAAGAATTGGCCTGGAAATCAGGAGACAGGGATTCTTTTCCTGGCTCTGCCACTTACTCTTTGTATGATCCTGGGTAAGTCACCTCATTTTTCTAGGCCTCAGTTTTGTCTTCTATAAAATGAAATGGTTTGTGTACACAATTTGTGTACATAATTTTTACCCAATCCATCCCTAATATTCTGTGATGTTCAGTGTAGCATTAGTATATCCAAATGTTGTGATATCCTTGAAGACCAGATATGCCCTTATTTCAAAGTAAAAAGGCATACCTCAAAGCTGAATACACTTGATACAATGGATACCTATGTCATTGTGTTCTTCCATTTGTGTGGATAATTAAGAGTTGAATACTTGTTATTTTCTTATTTTTTATAGAACTCAGATCTTTATCAAATTTCAATTTCTTTTTTGCATTGGTAGAGTTAATTAATGAGTTTATTGGAGGAAATAGACTGACCATATGATTCCTCCAAGCCCTCCCACCCCGCTCCATAAAATTCATTCTCTTTCTGTTGCCTCCAGAATCAAAGATAATTTTCTGTTGTCCAACGCCCTCCACTTATATCTTAGCTCCTCTAAGTATATTCTATTATCATAACTCCTTAGACAAGATCCTACATTTCCTGACTTCATGCATTTTCACTCACTGTCCCCTATGCCTGGAACTCTCTTCCTCCTCATCTCCCCTTTGTGACTTTCCTGGCTTCCTTCAAGTCTCATCTAAAATCCTACCTTATGCAAGAAGCCTTTCCCAGTCCTCCTTAATCTTAGTGCTTTCCCTCTGGGATTATCTTCATTTTTTCCTGTATGTATCTTGTTTGTACATAGTTGTTTGCATGTTTTCTCTTCCCAATATATTATGAGCTGCTTGAGGACAGAGGCTGTTTTCCCCTTTCTTTGTATCCCTCTCATTTGGTATAGTGCATGGCACATAGTTAGGTGCTTAATAAATGTTTGTTGATTTGACAGTCATTAACTAAACACCAAGCAAGGAATAGAGAGATAACAAAAGATAAAAGAGAATTTCAATTTTACATGAAATTGAAAAGGTTTTGAATGAAGAAAATTAATGCAACTTGGATTAAAAAAAATAAATAGATGATTTTCATCAAATATCTTTGATAAAGGCTTGGTATCCCAGGTAGCAGTGGGGCCACTCTCCTCTTACCTGGGAACCCCAGTATAGCTATCTTAATTTCAAGGCATTCTGTGGATCTACATCCACTCTGAACCACAGCTCACTGTCTTCTACAAATGTCTTTAACTTTTCTTCAACTACCTAGATGGCACAATTAGTTCTAAACAACATTTAACCAAATCAAATAGCATAGCAAGAAGATTTGCAATAGAATATTTTCCTCATAAACCTAGGGTGCACTTGCCAAAAGGCACATACCATCAATGGAGAGGTGAGCAAGCGTAAGGATAACATATCAAGGACATATAGGGAAAGCCTATTTTCAGGGCTTGTGTTTGGAAAGGCAGGGCACATGCGTGGAGGAGCAAGGAATACTAACACTGTAAGGTCATGGATTTCTCTCACTGGGCATGCTTCCTGCATGGCATAACCTCTCTTGAGTGTATTCTTTCACTAGGCTTGTGGTGATTACTGGGCAGATAATCTCTGTCCATCCCTGCTTGTTTTGTAGTAACTTCTGTAACATAGTCTCCACAGGTGATTGCTCTTTGCTACTAGCTTCTGGGTTAATATTTCCTTCAGGCCATCCAAGACTTGTCAGCTTCAGTCTGTTGAGACCAGTCCTTGGAAACCTTCCCTGATAAGGACAGGATGACAATTCTTTAGTTATGGCCAATGCACCCAGACAGACCTTCCCCAGGCTAAGGAAGTCTTTTCAACCTCTCTAGGCTGAAATTAAGGCCCTCTATTCCAAATAACTCTAATTTAGGGCTTGCCAAGATCCTTTCTGGTGTAGTATGCAAATGAAATTTGAACTAGAACCAAAATTAATGGAAGAAGCAAGGTAATTTTTCTCCTAGCCTACTTCTTGTTTTTATTGTACATATCTATCAGCATCAAAGATTTATTTTTGGTGTTGTGTTTTAGATAGCAAAAATTCTCAGTCTTTCTACACCAAAATATATAGGGAATTAACACAAATATATATAAAATTGAGCCATATCTCAATAGGAATGAAGTCAAAGAATAGGAATAGTTCTTAAAAAGTTTTCTGCTTGGGGGAAGGATCATAGGGTAATACATGTAGAGCTGAAAGGGACCCTAGAGGTCCTAGAATCCAGTCCCCCCAATTTATAAATGAGGTAACTGAAGCTCATAAGAGTTGTGATATGCCTGGGTCATGAACTGGTAATTATATATGAGACAGAATTTGTACTTGGACCTTCCTTTCTTGACTTTAATTCCAATACTTTATTCACTACACCATGGGGGGGGAGGGGGTGGGAAGGAAAGGAAAGTAGAAGCAAACTAAAAAATTAATATGATATATAAAAAAGGCATCAAGAAAACATAAAAGAATTCTGAAAATAAACTTTCTCATGTCACATCCCTAGTACTTTTGGACTTTGATTATGACTTCATTAATGTGGGTACTCCTTTCAATAGTTCAGATCAAAATTCATGCTTTATATATAATCCCTATATGTGTAAACCCTATGTTTCATAAGAAAGATTCATACATTGAGTATAGTTTGTGAATTATGCCTAAATTATAAACATAATAATTTAAGAGTATCATCAGTTTCTTCAGATCTCTCAGCTAGAAAGAATTTCTACTTTGCTCAATTAGTGGAAATAATGTTGCATTGTTGGAAACAATAAAGAGTGTGTGACAGCTTAGTAATGAACAGATGGGTTTTTTGAAGTCCTTCCAAACTTCTTAGTAAAAAAAATAAATAAATAATTTTGAACTTGACAAGAATTTTCTAAATGTAATCATTGCAAAAATATTTTAAGGGGAAATGCATCCTAATCTAGTGTTAAAGTTTTTAAAGTTAGGAAATTATGATTTCACTGGGGAGAAGGCAAACTACTAGCAATCATATGGAAGAATGTTCCAAATCACTAATAAGAGAAATGGAAATCAAAACAACCTTGAAGATTCATTTCACACATAGCAAATTAGCAAAAATGATGAAAGATGGGAATAGTGACTTTCGGAGGAAGTATGGAAAGGCAGACAGGCACACTAATATATTGTTAGTGGAGTTGTGAATTAGTATATCCATTCTGGAAAGCATTTGAAATTAGGCAAATAAAGTGACTAAAATGTCCATTCCCACTGGCCCAGAGATTTCACTACTAGCATATACCCCAAATAGGTAATTGACAAAAAAAAGGCTCTAAATAAATAAAAATATTTATAACAACCCTTCTTGTGATAACAAAGAACTGTAAAGAAGAAGGAAATTTAGGTGATGTAAAAACAAAAATGTCAATAAAATCCTTTTTAAGACAAAGCAAAAAAAATTACAAGATCTCAGAATGATACACTAAAAGTTGGAGGATTCTCAGAAGCCATTTGTCCAACCTCCTCATTTTACAGATGAAGAAAGTGAGGTGAATTGACTTGTTGCAGGTTACACAGGTAAGTAAGTGGCAGAGATAAGATGTGAACGTGGGTTCTCTGGCTCTGGATCTAAAGCTTTCAGATATCTTCTTGTATTAAAATCATACCCCAAAACACTGAAATACAGGAGTTTAATGTTTTTCAAATTTCTTTTCAGTTGCACAGAATGTGATAAAAACAGGAAAACATCTTGTACAGCTTGAGAATGAGAAGGTGAAATTGACAGCCAAAGCTGTCCCACTGAAAACAAGTCTAAGTCTTCAGGTAAATGAATTAGTGTTTCTAAGAAATCTGTGAATCCCAGGAATATTTCTTGTCTTCCATGTGTATAGATTAAAATTCAAAGGTGGGAGGTTGAATAGATGAGGAGGCTGACCGCTGAGATTCCATAAATTTCTAAGATTCTCCAAAATATGACCATTATTCACTTTTTCAAGAAGCTTCAGTAGCTCCCAAGCATCTACAGGGTAAAATACAAATTCCTCTGTTTGACATTTAAAGTATTTCACAATCTGGATCTAGTCTATACTTTCAGGCTAATAACACATTACTCACTAACTAATAAATAAATAAGCAAGCAAGTAAGAACAAATACATCCTTTCCTTCAATCAGTACTTTTGAACATCAGTACTTTCCTCCAATCAGAACACCTCCTAGCAGCACTCATCCATCTTCCTTCATTCAGCTATTCTTGGCTGCTCAGCTGGAAGAAGATTCTTTTCTCTTATTCTTCTGCTCTGCTTCAAGCTGTATTGCTTATGTATCTTCTCTTTCCTCTCTTGGCTTCTCTCTTCTCTGTTTCTTTGGTCTCTGACTTGGCTACTAATTGACTCCTTCATCAAAGCAGTGATTCTTTGTGTTAAATAATTACTTTAGGTTGACAAACCAAAATGAACATTTCTGTTATACACACCACAGATAGGTAATGTACAATTGTTTCATACTTCCAGAAAAATTCTAGTTTTCTGAGTTTCTGAGCTGTCAATCCTAAAGTTCATGCACTAATCTTATGTATATATATAAAGGAACTGGGAAAGAAGACACTTTGTCTGTTTTTGCCATCAGTAAGTCCTTTTTCTGAGGGGTTGCTTTCTCCTAGGTCCTTTCAGAACTGTCTTTGTTTCTGTCTAAATACTGAGGCTCTGCTTTTGTCAGTATTTTTAGACAAGTGTTCTTTTTTTTTCTCCCTTCCCTTTTTAATAAATGAAAATAACCAAAGAAGAAAGGGGCACCATTTTCCACATGCATTCTAAATTCTAGCCAAATCGAGTCATTTTCTCTTGCTTTCACATGGAATTTCATTTTCCTCTCTTTTTCTTTACACAAACTGTCATGAATAACTGGATTACCATCTTGCCTCTACCTCTCAGAACCCCTCTTTTCTTTCAAGGCTAAGCTAAGATGCCACCTCCTGAAGGCATTTCTTGATTACCCTAGCTTTCATTCTCTTCTTCCTTACCATGTTGCACATGCCCCCACCTGCAATTACTTTGTATTTATTTTGAATATATCCTTCATTTACTTATTTTGGTACATATTGTATCCCTCTAGTAGAATATAAACTGCTCCTTGAGGGAAAGGGCTGTTTCCTTTTTATTTCTGTGTCACCAGGCCTTGGCACATAGCAGACACCTAATGAATGCTTATTAGTTGATTGAATGAAACAATTTCCACTTCCAGGTTAACACAAAGATTTCTAAGAAAAAGATTGATGTTGCTGAAATACCTGATGTGTTATCTGAAGAACAGATGAGAGATAAATTGGCACTGAGTTTCAGTAAATCCCATTATGGGGGTGGAGAAGTAGAACATGTGGAATATCATAAAAATTCCCGAACAGCTGTTATTACATTCCTTGAGAATGGAGGTATGTATAGTTAGAGTCATTTGGGAAGTTCATAACGATTGTTTCTTTTTCAGGATGCCTCCGTCTCTGAAAAAAAAATTTCCTCTTATCTCTTTAATTTAGGATTTATCAATCTAAACATGGGAGCCAGCTTGGTATCATGCAGAGAGGACTTGCCTTGTAATCAGAAAGATCTAGACCTCTAACACAGACTCACTCTGTGGGTATGTGATTACAGGAGTTACTAAACAATTCAGTGCCCTCAGATAGCTTTCAAAGGGAATAGTTTATGAGAGCTTGCCAATCTGTGCGTGTGTGGAGTTTACCAACAAGCTTGAAAGTATAAGTAGGCCAAAGAAAAAATGTCTTTTGAAATCATCTTCCTTAGCATAATAATAGAGATTTAAAATAATCACTCCAGGAGAAGCAGGATGGTACAACGGAAATTGTAATTGGATTTCTGGGATCCAGATGGAAATCCTGGGTCTGCCACTTACTTGCTGTGTGACCTTTCAAAAATTGTTTTGCTCCTCATCTTTAGAATGAGCGGATTGGACTATTTGACTTTTAAGAGTCTCTTCTAGCCCTAGACATGTGATCAAAGGTAATGAGGCAAAGGTTAAAAGTTTTTAATGGCGCTGTATGTCCAATATGCAAATCTGTTAACCAATCTGGACTACTTTTACTTTAACAGTCTAGTCTGGATGGTAGGAATTCTTTATCCAAAATCTATCCATGTGTGTAGTTAGATTAAATTTTTTTTTGTGTTACTATAGATCTCATTTAGGATGCCCTTCATTGTTCTTAGGGTTTGATATAATCAGCACAATGGCATCCACAAATAGGAGGATCCAGAAGATTTCACTAGAATTCCTTTTCAATTTTGAATCTAAGCTCACCTTCTGCCATGACAATGGCAAATGTATTCATTGAACATGTCTTCCTGTTTTATGCCTCAATTGATAGTCAGGAGGTCCCTGAACAAGATTATCTCCATTGTTACATCTTTAAAGAAATCTCATATGTGCATGGAAGACATGTTGGGGAAGAATCTTCAAGGCAGCATTTTGCTCTACCAAATTAAATTATTTTTAGTAGTCTGTAGATAGTAAACACAGTTGGATCTTTTATTCTCCATACATTTTCATTAGTGTGACATGGTGTTACAGACTGGATTTGGAATTTCTTTTGTGTAAACTGGCTTATTCTTTTCTCATACCTTATTTCAAGGATGTACTCAATATGTTTGTTATTGTCATTGTTATATTATTATTTATTATCATTAATTATAATAATATAATATAAGATTATAATCATAAGATTAATCTCATGAGGATTTTGTATAGATGGAAAAGAAGTTATTGATATTTTTGACTGCTGTTTTTTATTTTTTTCTTTAAGAATTTAGTATATTTTGAATCAATTATAGAATCATTTAGATAATTTAGTTTTAGAGGTAGAAGGGAACTTAGAGATCATCAAGTCTAACTCCCTCATTTTACAAATAAGGAAACTGAGTGAGACCCAGAGAGATTAAATTATTTACTCAGGGTCACACAGCTAGTAAGTCTGGAGTGGGTCTTCCTGACTCCAAGTTCAAAGCTTTGCCCACTATATTATACTGACTCATGATTGTTTCAAAACTGGGTTGCTTTAGCATGGACTTCCTCTTGGTCTAGTCTAGTTGCTTTTGTCATTTTTGTTTTCTTTTATGCCATCTCTACTTATTCATGTAGCACATCAGTGCCTATGATATTAGGTCTAATTGTCATAGTATCACTGTCATTGATGGAGAAAAGAGTTTGTTATAGAAATCATAATAGATCTTTTCCATTTTATATCAACTTGTTATCTTTCCAGTTTCATTCTTAAATGTTCAGGGTTTGGGGAGGGTGGGGAAGTAATCTATCTTAACTGAGTCTCTTGCCAAGCTGCCTCTGAATTTGATTCTTCTTGCTGCTCTACCACCTTCCTCAATGAGGCATTTCAAATGAGTTTATTTCTAAATTAATATTGTCTTATCTTTTCACATGGCAAAGAGATATGTGTTTGCCAACTAATGCTCTTTTAGTCACCTCAATGAAAACTTCCTTAGCATTGTTGGTGTGTTGATTGCTCTTATGTTATACATTTTCCATTTTTTGGCTTCAAAAATTTGTTTAAATGGCATATCGTATTTAATTATATTTTTCTTCTCCTAATTTATTGTTGATTTTAATCCTTGCTTTACCTAGCCAATGGTCTGACTGTATAGAGGAGAATGATTTAGAAATTACTTCTACAGACATAGCCAGTTATTTCCTGTTTGTGAGAGCAATAAATTTCATTTTTTTTTTTGATGTTGCTTAGTGTTCCTGGTTACTGTCTTAAAGAAGATATTTAAGATATATGTGAGATTTCTGTACAATCTATAAGACTTTGGTTTTTCCAATTTCTTCCTCTAGAATCATATTTTAAAATGCATTTTTCTAACTTTTGTCTTTTCTTAAATTTTGAATATCAAACTATATTCTGATTTAATTTGGGGATCTTGTTGAGTTTTTTTTTTAATTTCTCCTGATTCCTCCTCTGTAGGAAGTATTGGCCCATAGACTACAATTATCTTATGGTGGTCTTTTTTCAAATGTCTTTTATGAGCACTGAAAGGTGATATGACTAAGTGTCTCATGGAATCACATGAGTTTATCATTAATGGGCACAAGATAAAGCCACTCACCCTTCTTTTTGCCTTTCCAAGAAAAACCTGTGAGCCATCCTTTAATTTATGGTAAGAATGTCAGGAATGATATGATTGAATTCTTCCTGTAGTTTGTCAGCCTGTTGGATGACTACTTGAGAGGGATCTCACATTTAGTTAATTTAATGTTTATAGATAGTCTCAAAGCTTTTGTAAAGCATGCTCTCTTCTCTTTTTTGGCCATTCTGAGATTGTTCCTGCAAAAGCAAAAGGCAGGGAAGGGAGGAGACCCACAAGATGGAAAATCTTTTGTTATTTTTCTTTGTTTCCCCTATGTTGCTATGGCCAAGAATTCTTCAAGAACCCAGGCTCACCTCTTAGGCCCATTTAGGTGAGATGTTGTTGAAGACGTTACACATAGTAGATTCTTGATTAATGCTTGTTGAATTGAATTGAGTTACTTATTCTTTGAAATTTCCATGATATTTTCTTTTCTCTTCCTTCTCATTTACATCCAGTGAAACAGGTACTTTAATAATTTTGAATTATTTGAATTTGAATACAATAATAATGAAATATATTTCATTTCCTATTATTATCAACTTGACAAACCAATAAACATGAAATTTCTTATTTAAAGAACAGAAAAAGGGAATTACATATGTTACTATCAATATCTATTCCATATTATTTTTTAAAGTGAATATTAAACTTAACATGATAGGAAGCATGCTACTTACCTCATGGCCAATGAAGGTGTTTCTTTGGTTTAGCTATGCTTTTTTGTTTTCTTTCTTTTTCTCCTAATGGAAATTATAGGAGGAAGAGAAAATTGATTTGTGTTCATTAAAAAAATTAATCTAATTAAAAAAATTAATATGGTAGTTCCAATACTGCTCTGCTTGTGTTCGCTTCTCAGCTTCTTTCTACTGTCTTCTGTGTTTTCTTAATGTTTCATCGATGCTCTTTCCTTTCTTTTTATCCCCCTTGTTTTTGTATCACTTAATTACTCTCCATCTGTCCTCCCCTCTCCCCCCAATAAATAAAAGCCCTCCCTTGTAATAAATAAGTATAGTCAAGCAAAATAAATTCATGAATTGGCCATGCCTGGAAATGTATGTCTCCTTCTGAACCTCCCTGCCAAGACATTGCCAGGTACTTCGAAATGATAACAAACTTCTAAAATTTAAAGTATTCTGAATATTTTTTTAGAATAAGTTTAATATTTTTGTGTAGATAAGTTTCTCATCTGATCAAAAAAACCTTTTAAAATTATTTTCTAGTTGCTGATAATATTCTCAAGCGCAAGGAATATCCTCTTTATACAAGTACCAACTCCTATCAAATTGTTTATGTTTCCCCACATGTGGAAAAACAAATAGAAAAGCTGCAGGTAAGAAAATCTTAAAACCAACCAACAAACCAACAAACAAACAAATAATACCACATTTTGAATAACCAGGTAGTAGCACTCTAAATCTTATCAATGCTACGTAGCTCTATCTGGTTGGGGTTTTGACATTTCTTTAAGACTTTAAGTTCTTTAGAATGAATTTAAGTTTTTTAATCCTTTATCTTATTGATCCTCTTATTAGGAAATAAATTAAGGCTTATTTTTCTTTCTTGAATTATTCAGGAAATTATACCAGTCTTCACTTCACTAAATGGGACATGGGTTACATTTCTTAGCTTTACTTAGTGTTGTGAACTTGGACAAATCACCTAAACTCAATGTTAATTTCCTCATCTTTAGAATGGGGGGATTATAATACTTGCCCCACTTACCTTACAGTATTGTGAGACTCAAATGTGATAATGGACATGAAATACCTCATAACCATAAAGTGCTATATTAAGTTGTGATTGTTATAATGATGATGATGACAATACTTTTTCTTACATATTATACTATAGATAGGGCTTAGAAATCATCTTTCTACTGGCTGTTGATCAGGATTTACCTTTAAAGCATGACTTTTACTAGACTGATAGTAAACTTCTTTTAAGTTCAGAAATCAAATCTCATATATGTCATCTTCTGTATAAATGAGATGTGACATATTAAGAAGGATAGTGACTGAACTTGTAGTTTCATCATTACGGAGAACTCCTGATTGAGGGAACTCCTACTGATGCAGGTTGGCATCTTCTATGCAACGTAGAGCCCTACAGAATTTCACAGAGCATTGAGAGATTGTGACTTGCCAAAGGTCACATAGCTAGGCTGTGTTGGAGGCAGAATTTGAACCCAGGCCTTCCTGGCTGCAGACCATCTCTCTTCACTCTGACATGCTGCCTCTTTATATTGATATTTGGGAAAAATTACCTCTGTACTAGGTATTAGAAATTATAATTAAGATCTTTTCTGAACATACTTTTCAATGCATAGTGGCTACTCTTTAAAGACCTATCAAAAGGCCATTTGATGCAAAACTAATAGCAGCCAGTGGAAAGGGCAAAAATGGGCAAAAATTTCATTACTATTTTGTTCCCAGGTAATTATTTCATTTCCTACTGAACAACGCACATGTGCTTTTATATGATTGTATCATTAAGTCTTAAAAATTAAGAGAAAAAGAGAGTTATCTCATTAGGAAATGGCCTTATTTACTGAGACCATGTAGTCAATGTCTTCTTAAAAGAATTTGATCACAGACATGAAAAGTCTGCTCTCCTGGTAAAAGAAAGTGAGCCATCATTTTTATAGCATGCATGATTCAGAGTGAACTGTGGTAGGAAAATTGGAAATCAAATGCAAGTTAATGGCAGAAGTATTTTTTTTTCTTGAAAACCTGTATGGACTATAAAAGGATCATATAGTAGTACCTCAAAGATGGTTTGCTTTTTTTCCTAGGTATTTTCAGGAATTTCTAAGAGGACTGTCCTTCTGATGGGACTTAAAAATATCCAAGAAGATGAAGAAATTATAGAAGATGAAATTCATATTCATTTTCAGAAAGGGTCGAATGGGGGAGGGGATGTAGAAGTTGTTAAATGTGCCCTCAAAAAACCTCAAATAGCATATTTTGAGCCTGATCTAGATCAGGGGTGCTTAACCTGGGGGTTATGAGCTTATTCAAATTTTTTTGATAACTATATTTCAATATAATTGATTTATTTTGCAATCCTATGCACTTTATGCATTTAATAAGATTATTCTGAAGAGTCCATAGACTTTATCCGACTGCCAAAGGGGTCTTGTCATCCCCACACACAAAAAAGGTTAAGAATTCCTGATTCCTGAGAGAGCCATATAAGAAATTACAGAAGCTGGATACAAACTTAGATTGTGCTAAAAATGCTTACATTGCTTTGAAGTTCTTTTCTTAAAAACAAAAAATAACTTTTTACTTTTTAGTTTCCACTTGCTCTTAAAATAAAAAATATATTCCTTTTGTTTTTTTATTCTAACTTGGTTCCAAAGATGTTGAATACTTCAGAACTCTGATCAGTACAATGCCAAACCACAATTCCAGAGCATTGAAGGTGAAGCATAGTATTTACCACCTATCAGAGAGGTGAAGGGCTCAAAAATCCAGAATGATACATACATTTCTGGACATGGCCAATTTGGGAATTTGTATTGCTTTATTGTATGGATATTTGCTGTGAGCTTTTTTATTTTCTTTCTCTTTTTTTTCCCTCAAATGGGGAAGAGGCAGTTTTGAGGGAGGGAAAATAAATGCTTGTTAATTGAAAAAGATAAATTAAGATTAATTAGATTGAATTAGATTAGTTAATTAGATTAATTAGATAAATTATGTTTTTAAAAGGTGTTGAATAAAAGGTCCTCATTAAATATCACTCAAATTAAATGACTGAATATTGCTTGGCATGTGCGAATATTCCTGATAATGGATAATCTGGGATGGAGAGGGCCCACTGAGTCCTTGAGGGGAATGGTTTAGAAAGGAATGGGATGATGACTTTGTTACTCAACTATTCTAGAATGTTAATTCAAAACTTTAATTTCACTTATTGTGATTTTATTCTTCTAAATTCCTCTAAAATCATCTTGAGAGAGACATATCAGAGCACATAGGGGTTTGGTCTTTTCTCCAAGCTAGAAATGCTTGATGTTAATATTAAGTTAGAATTATTTCTAGCAGACTTGGGCCTAAAATGCAGAATATAGTGTTTTTTTTTTTTATTTTAAGTGAGGCAATTGGGGTTAAGTGACTTGCCCAAGGTCACACAGCTAGTACACGTCAAGTGTTTGATCTGAGGCTGGATTTGAACTCAGGTCCTCTTGACTTCAGGGCCTGTGCTCTATCCACTGCACCACCTAGCTGCCCCCAGAATATAGTATTAACCTTGTTCTTAAATGGTTAAATGGTGTTATGATTCAGATTCTGATGACTAATAGGAAACCAGCACAGGCTTCTATTCAAAAGACTTCCATAGCTAACTAAATAGAGGTGAGGGAGCTTTTAAACTCTTAGAGATAGTTTTTATTTTTTGGAGCAGAGCTGCATTATCGTTGATTTCTGAACAAGCTCATGGAGTCTGCTTGTGAAAAAGGCCAAGTTTGTCACATACGGCTATTTGTGCATGTCTGTATTAGTAGCCACCTTCTGTATTGCATATGGTAAGCTTTTGTTAATTTTGTCTTAGCATTTGGCTGGTCAGCCTATCTATTACCTGAAATTAGTGGCCTGGTTCATGAGCAAAAGTTTTATTGTGCCAGCCACACTGGGAATTTCAGAATCCTATGGCTCACTTTCCAGGGACTCCCAATTAGGTAAAAGTGGTAAGTTTGGTATTTTCTTCAATGGTGGCTTGTTTTAGTGTCTATCAATCTATACTATATTTAGAGATATAAAGGCCTAAGGAATAATTAATCTTGAAATCATAAGATTTCCCCTCTCTCAAAATGGGTATGTTACCACAAAATCACTGCGATCCCTCTGAAAGTACTTGATCTCTCTTGCTCAAGAGATCCTGTTAGCCATTTTGGAGTGCTTGACCAAAACTGGTCAGTGAACTCATATAACTGATATGAAGATCAGCAGATCCTCAGCAATGAGGCTAGAGATGCTTCTGTGCCCAGAAAAACAGACTGGGCTCCTTGTTATAGGGTTGGAGGGGGACTCAGGCTTCTGTTGGGTAGTGAGCTTTGAGAAGGAGGCAACTAAGAGAAGTCAAGATGGTTGAGTAAGAGGAAGCAGTTCAGCCCAGCTCCCCACTAAACCTCCTCCACAAAGATCTAGAAAACACATCAGACTGCATTGTGATTAGGAAGGTTAAAAAAAATCACAGTAAGTCATTTTTGAAGTTTAGAGCAGCTTAGGGGGGACACAGAGAGATTTATGGACAGTGGAGGCAACGTCTGGCAAGAAGCACACAAGCAGAGCATTCCAGGGCCCAGGGCCTGAAAGAGGACTGATCCTGGGCACCAGAGGATCAGGTCACAGATCCATGGCAGAGAGGGACAGTCATGAGGGTGGGTCCTCACTGTGTACTGAGCAAAGAACAAGCCCCAAAACAAGGGGGCCATGAATTTCAGTCACTCTGAACCTGCAGAGCCTCCCAGCAGGCTGATAGTGGCTGAGTCCAGCATCCTCCTGAAATTCCCAACCAGCGATAAGCTGAAAGACCCAAACCTGGGTCAGGACCTTGGAGAGGTTAGCCCAGGAGGGCTAAGCTGAACCTCACCCTCTTTCACATCCCATCCATCACTTTGGGAGTGCTCAAAGCTTGCATGCCCCAAGGCTAAACTGTGAAAACATTAGTAGGTTGTAAGAGGGCAGAAGCCCTGGTCAGACACTTCTCCTTCCCCAAAATAGCGCAAAGTTCAAAGTCAAGAAGTAGGCTGGAAGAATGAGCAAGCAAAAAAGAAGGATCCCATCATAAAGAGCTATTATGGTGACAGAGAAGCTCAAGACAAACCCAGTGAAAGAATTACTCAAAAACATCTATAAACAAAGTCTCTGTGAAAAATGCAGTATGGACACAAGTCAAATAAAAATTTCTATAAGAGCTAAAGTAAGTTTAAGAAAAAAGGTTAAAAATGATTTTAAAAACCAAAAGAGAGTGGTAGAGAAAAAATGGGGAAATAAATGAAAGTAAGGGAGAGAAATATATTAAAAGATAATTAACAGCTTAAAACAAGAGGTACAAAAACTTACCAAAGAAAATAACTTTTTGAAAATTAGAATTGACCAAATATAAACTAATGACTCCACAAGACATAAAAAAGCAACAATGCAAAGTGAAAAAAAAAAAACAGAAGAAAATACACCTTCATAGGAAAAACAGCTGATTTGGAAATAGATCTGAGGTGGCATCATTTAAGAGTCATTGGACTCCCTGAAAGCTATGAACAAAAAAGACCCTAGGTATCATATTTTAAGAAATTATTAAAGAAAGCTGCCCAGATATCTTAGAAGCAGAGGGCAGATGGAAAGAATCCACTGGCCACTTTCTGAAAGATGCCTGAAAACAAAAACTTCTTGGAATATTATAGCCGAAATCCAAAGCTCTAGGTCAAGAATAAATACTGCAACAGCCAAAAAGAAATAATTCAAGTAATAAGGAGCCAGAGTTAGGATCACATAAGATTCAACTTTACATTCTTATATGGGAAGATGACACATGTCGTTCCCTCAGAACTCTATCATTATCAGAGATAACAGACAGATTGCACTATGCATTTGCAAGTTCCTAAGAAAGAAACCAAATTTGAAGTGCTTTATAGGATAAAATATGAAACTGTTTGTAAACCTGAAAGTAAAGCTCTGATCACCTAAATCAAAGTTTTGCAATGAATTTAAGATTTATTAGGATATTGTGCTAATTTTCAAAAAGCAGATTTGATAAGAGGAAAAAAACTTGATCTGAAAATTTGAAATTGATGAAACATGACTTCAAGTAGAGAGGTACAAGGTTAAGAAATTAAGAGTTTTAGAAGTACACACAAAGTGAAATACTGATTCAGTATAAAGACAAATGCAACCTGTAATTTGCAATGATTAGCTTGGTATTATCAGTCAGTAGCTAAAATCTTAAAAAAAAGAAATTTAGATAATTTACATGGATACAGTGTAAACATGAAGCTCAATTAAAAAGCAATGAGAAATAATATAAAAGTGCTCTTAAAAATAAAAAAAATCTAAAATGAAAACATGAGTGTGTTCAATTTTTGGCTCCCCAGCATCAGGAAAATAGAACTAGTGACTCTTCACTTAAACAGGGCCCATACAAGGCCTTCCTTTTTGCCAGTGATCAGTATTTCCAGTATGGGCCAACTTAGAAAAAATGGCAGAGAAAAAGAAAATCCTAGTATTGTACAAAATTTTAGGAAGTTTTAGATGTCATTGAGAGAAGAGGTAAAGAACAAAGTAGAGACATTGACATGCTTCCTAAGCTATGAACTCCACCTGAAGAAATGCTTGTTTCCTCCTTAGGGGGGTAGAGCTACTTTTAATGTTTCTCATTGTTTTCAAACTTAATTTCACAAATTCTAATATTCTGATGGATGTGGAAAAGTAGCTGGAATTTTATAGCAATTAAACATTTGATTTACATTGGGCTTGATAAGTTAATTGAGAAAAACTAATTCACAGCATAGTTGATCTTTTGTGTCCTGAATGGTAATTGCTGGTGCCACACCTTGTAGTTGACAACTACAAAAGTGATAACTATTGGTTTCTGAACAAATACAGAATGTCAGAACTGGTAGATGAATGGAATGGATTTTCTATGTTGCTGATTTGGAGATACATTCTACTAGGTTAATGTTCTTTGGTAATAAGTTTTGTTTTGCATATCGTGTTTAAAATGTATGAGATTCATGAGATTGATTGTTTTATGTTAGTACTGTGTTTATGTTTCTTGCATTGTCATTTTGGAAATCATCATATGAAAGTTCTGTTGAATTTGTAATGATATGTCTAGTATCACTTTTTTGTTTTGCTTTTAACAATTAAATATTTTTGCAATTAACAAAAATGGATGGTTTCCCTCTTCCATCTCCCCCTCTCCATCATTAGGAAACAAGAGACACATAAAACACTCATGTAAGTCAAGCAAAACAAATTCTCATATTGGCCATGTCTAAAAAATGTTTGCCTCAGTCTTCACCTTGAGTCTATTACCTCCCTCTCAGGAGGTGGATTGCATGTTTGCATGCTTCATCATGGGTCTTTTGGAATTGTTTTTGATCACTGAGTTGATCAGAGTTCTGAAGTCTTTTAAAGTTGTTTGTCTTTGCAGTATTGCTCTTATTGTGTGCATTGTTCTCCTGGTTGTATTCATTCTGCCCTGCATCAGTTCAATCATCCCAGGTTCCTTGTCTTTTAAAAATTTTTAAGTTAAAATATTTTTGAAGACTGGATCTCTCTTTCCCTAACTGGAAGGCTATTCAGGTGTCCTATAGTAAGCACTCTGATTGGTGGTGGGGGGGACTTTGACCCACTTCATTTCTTAACTGGGCTGACATCGAGAGGGGCTGGGAGATAGGAGGTATTATCACATTAAGTCCAAACTTCTTTCTGATACCCCATCAGCTTAGCTCACAGCAGCACAGAGCTCACAGCTCCTAAGCTCAAGATCCCTTAGCTTTGCCTTTCTAGGAGCTGAGAACAGGCGTTGGCAAACTACAGCCTGTGGCCTGTTGCCTGTTTTTTTTGTTTTTTGTTCTTAATGGCCTGTGAACTAAGAATGATTTTTACATTTTAAAATAAAGTTTAATGGGAACACAGCCACATTCATTCATTTACATATTGTCTCTATTTTCAAGCCATAAAAGCAGAGTTGAGTAGTTAGGTTAGGGACCATGAGGTGCTCCCTTACTTTGGCACTGCTACCTTACTACACTTCAAA